ATAAATCTCTGTACATTTGCCTCAATTTTGCTGTAAACCTAAACTGCTCTAAAAAATAAAGCATATATAGCAGTTTAGGTTTACAACAAAATTGAAGCAAAAGTACAGAGATTTCCCAAATATCCCTACCCGCCCCCCACACACACATACACAACTTCCCCCACTATCAACTCTTGCAGTAGGTGATGCATTAACTACAACTGATGAACCTACACTAACACATCCTCATCAGTCACACTGTCAGTATATATATACAAAATGCCCAGTGTGCCATGCATCTGTGGATGTAACAATTTATATAAAATATGACCCATAGCCTCCCAGAGCTCATACTTCTAGTTAGAAGAAGAAAACACAAAAATATGAAAAACATACAAGATCTTCTCTACTAATAGCTGAGGCAGTCAGTCCCAACAAGAGAGGAGTTGATGGAGGCTGGGCTGGTTGGGAACCACTTCATGGAGAATACAGGGACAGTCCGGGCGTTGAAGGACATGTCCGATTTACACTGATGAACAAAGTTTTGGCAGATGGAGAGACTGATTAATGGTTAATGGTTCACTTGTTCAGTAAACGTTTATTGAGCATCTACTAGAGACAAGGAATATAAAAAATGGAAGTGTTCTTGAAGATTGTCCAAGCCCAGCCCTACACACAGCACAAATGAGAAAACCAACCCAGCTATTATTTCCAGAACTGGGACTCCCAGCTTTTGAAAAGGCTGGGGCTTGTACTGGCCTAAACCAAATGAAGCAGGGCTCCTAGCCATGGCTCCAGCCTCATCCCCAGTCACTCTCTGACTCACACATCTTCCTCTGGTAATGCCTTAGTGACAGCTTTCACACATTGTTTCAAGCCTCCAAGCATTCACGCCTGCTGTGTGTGCCCTGTGCCTAGGGACATCCTTCCCACCTCTACTCTCTGGCTGACTCCTTGTACTCAGTCAGATTCAACCTAACTCTCTTCTTGCGTAAGTCTCCTCCAAAAGCCAGGGTGAAACTGAGTGCCTCTCGTTTTGCATACATCTGTCTTATCACTGATTTTGTAATGCTGGAATCCGTATCCTCCCCTCTGCAATCATCTCCACGAAGGCTGTGACCTGCCTTGTCCTGCTCATCTTGCTCCAGCCATACAAACTGGCTCACAACTATTTTTCCACTCTACTGGCCTTCGCTGTAGCCTGAAAGGCGTCTGCCCCTCTCCACCCAAAGCTTCACCTGGCTGACTCATTCTTGTCCTCAAGTGTCTCTTCCCCTGTCAGGCTTTCCTGGCCATCTGCTCTGGCCCGGTTTCTCCCTTTGCACCACCATGGGACGTGGTGCACAAGACTGGCACCACCTCATCATCTAGGTTTTAGTCCAAACGTCATCTCTTCAGGGAAGCATTCTCTGATGTGGCAACCATTATTTACCTACCCCAGTCCACACTGCCTTCTTCCTTGCCCAAAACTCAAGATTTGATGACCCATGATTATTGTGAATGAATTGTGGCAATATAGGTCTTCTTTGTTGGTCACTAAACTACATGCAGGCAGGCCACTATTTCTGTTCGATGAATTTCAGGGGGAGGTTTACTAGGGGATGTGAAAGCTTCGAGAAAGAATCTTTCCCTAATAAGACGTCTACACTAAGGAGAAAAAATATTATCTTATCATCATTCTTGCACCCCTTTCCCCTTCTGGCTTTGGAAACTGAGAGGATGTGGTATCTGCAACTATGGCAGTCATTCTGTAGCCACGAGGAACATGTCAATATTTTGCGAATGGGGGAACAGAGAGATGGAAAAAACTCTTGATCTTTGATGACATGACTGAATTACTGAATCCACCCTGGGATCAATAACCTCTGGGCAATTTTTAAATAAATAATTAATGCCCCTAGGGCTTAAGCCACTGTTAGGTTTTCTGTTACTGTGGCCAAAATAGCTTAATTTGGCCAGGCATAGCAACTCATGCCTGTAATCCCAGCACTTTGGGAGGCTGAGGCAGGTGGATCACCTGAGGTCAGGAGATCTGACATGGCAAAATCCCGTGTCTACAAGAAACACAAAAATTAGCTGGGCATGGTGGTGCATGCCTATAATCCCAGCTACTCGGGAGGCTGAGGCATAAGAATCGCTTGAATCCGGGAGGTGGAGGTTGCAGTGAGCCGAGATCGTGCCACTGCACTCCAGCCTAGGCAGCAAGAGCGAAACTCCATCTCAAAGAAAAAAATGTATGTAGCTTCATCTATACTCTTAACATTCAACCTAAAGTAACACCCAGTCATTCTCCATAACGTTTCACTGTTTTCCTCAATCTATCACTAGTCAAAAGTATCATGCTTAGTGGTGTGCTATTGGTCAATTTTCCTATCCCACTAGAAGGTAAGGACCATGGAGGTAGGGACTTTGTGATTTTGTCACTGCTCTGTTTCTGGCACCTGAAACAATGTCTGGCACTCAGTAGGAGTACAATAAATATGTTACATAAGTGATTGGACAAACAAATACCTCTGGAGTCAATTCTTTCTTGTCTGTGTTTTAAATCAGACTGTGGGCTCTTCAAGGTCAGAGAATTCATATATATATTTTGAGAAAATATATATTTTCTCAAAACCTAACAGACTGCTTGGTACATAGCAGGTAATTATTAAATGTTCTATGAATAGACACACGTGTTCCCTATCCTTTCTCCAATGGTCACCCAGGACATAACTCATGATCAGTCAATATTTGACAACTACTGGAAAAGGTGATTGATAAGGGAATTCTGAACTATTGCTTCATGAGTGTTAAACTTACAAGAGACATTTATGACATGGTCTTAACCTGGAAAAACATCTTAGACTAGCCATGCAAACCAAAATTCCGGATGAAACTCTTCTGGTAATGAAGAACTGATCTCCACAGGAGGCAGCTTTTCTAGTCACATTGCAACTGTATCTTTTCCTGAGTGGGCCAAAATATGCCTGTTTGTTATTGACAGCTATTGTCAACTTTCTAGTTCTCTCTCAAGTTTATTTGTCTTCTTTAAAATCTAGACCTGAAACAAATACCCTCTCCATGTCTGTACACAAGCAGCTGAACTTGGCAGGTATAAAATTACAGAACAAAGCCATCTACTACTTATGTCATTCACAGTAAGATGCCATTGATTATGATATGCCCATTGTTTTATGGGCCATAGAGAAAACAATGGTGGCAATTAAACTATGAAATAATCAGAGGAAACCAGTACTAAGAAACTATGGAACAGTGCTAGAATGTATCCCAAATTCTGAGGTTAAAAAATGTGCATCTGGGAATTGATAAAATATAACGTGGTAGTTTCACTTTAAAATAATAAATACAGAATTCCACACAGCTGGTCAACCCTGATATGATTCACTGGCAGGCTCGTTTTTCTGTGATCCTGTATGACTAATGACATTTATTGGCTTTCTTCAAATGGCTGATGTTACTCTTCCCCAGACTCATTTAATATTTTATGGAGAAAATCGAAGCTACCAGATGAGGATTGTATCTTCTTCTCACCCGTAAACCCACGTCCCCATGCACTCTGGCCTTCTCCTTCTTTCCTATCATGTGAGAGGGAGTCTCTGTCATCCTGTCTAAATTAATCCCTCCACAGGAGCTCCATGCCTGTCTCCTCCAACGTTCTTAAGGACCACATTTCTTTAGATTTCCTTCCTATTTCCTGCACCACCAGTCTCTCTCTCTACTGTGGATAATGCTATTGACATTCAAATATGCTCAAGTATCTTCCTCCCTCAGACAAAGCAAAGCAAAACAAAAGTCTCCCTTGTTTGTTTGTCCTCACTGACTGCCTCAAGTCCCT